TATTGACGCGTACCCGAGTCCCCTTGAATTCATTGTCATTTTGGACTGACCACCACGAGCAGTGTAAGCCCCTATCCATCACTTTATTGTCTTCTCCGGCCGTTTGTTCCGGCAACCATATTGGTCTGACATTATCTAGAGAACCATGCTCGTCATCTTCTGTCGTCGTTACCTTCCGCTCTAGGTTCTCGTTGTATCGTGCCATCTCATCGATCACTTATACCTCTGGTTTTTGGTATCTTAAATCAAACCAGACAGTTTGAGTTTTCCACAAAAGCCCTCAAAGCATGGTCGTTGATCGGTTCCCGGTCTTTTCAGATCATGATGTTGACATTACTGATACTGCATCTCATCTAAAGGGGTGCGCCGAAGAGGACAGCGCTCGCCATCTCTTCAGTTGTGAACTGCAAACGCCGTAGGATCATGGGCAAGCTTCATTACCCAATACTGGCTGTAAATCCTGTCACTATACCAAGCACTGAGGCTAGAGGAAGTGTACGAAGCCAGTACATAGGAACTTCAAATCCACGGTGTCAATTCCTCAGTTCGGAGTTTTGGCCCGATTTTCGGTTGCACGAAACCAAGTTCTACAAAAGGCAGTAGGCCCCATTGTTCTAAGTCCATATGCTCCGACATGGATCCTTTGGAATACCGAGGCACATACTATACGAAGGCTGTGCAGTGGCGAATTATCCAATTGCAGCACATCCAGTCATGTCAGTCACTGAAGCGCAGCATCTAAATAGGTACAAAAATATATTTGGATATCTAAACCAATCCTCTCCCACGCTGAGCGTCGAGGCGGACTAGCTCCTCAGCAACATTCCTTGCCACATCTCGTCTATCCTCCTCGTACTTCCGCGCCACCTCTTCGTTCTCTTCTCGCGTACGCCAATAGCGCGGTCTTGCACTGGACCGTCTAATTGCACTATCGTCTTCTTCCGACATGGTCCTCTTCATGAACGACCGATAGATACGCGACTTGGATGTGTTCTTCGCAGCCACATCAGCGACGTCAGCCTCGTCTGATACATGGTCTATGCACGCAGCCTCGAACGCGCGTCTGACGGATCCCGCAGGTAGGCTGGTAAGTCTCACGAGACAAGTGTTAGCCCCGCTGTCATCACCACTCCCTACCCCGTGCGACCTCCATCCAGTCTCGAATGGAGTTCTACCCGTGCCCAAGTCCCGCCAACTCTGCACCACCAGTCTGACCTGCCCACCAGTAGCATGTGAGAAGTCCTGGGTAGTCACACTCCAATCCGTCGCACAGGTCGAGCAGTTCTGTGTAAACTGGTACTTCCAGCCTCGGCGGATCACATTATCGATGGCGGCCATGAGACCGGTATGGCCGTTTGGTGTATCGCGATGGCCTGTGACGATATGTGGGAGGAGAGGCCAGAGCGACTTTAAGAGGTTGCGATTTCTCGTTGTGAAAGCGGGCAGAATGATTGCGTAGGAACTGTGTAAGAGAAAATGGCCTTGAACTATCCTGGCTGAGAGACTGAGCTTGGTGGGAACCGGCGTTCTAGAGATTCGCGCCATTTCTTTCTTCTCGTAAGTGAACGCGGAAAGGGGAATACCGTGCTCATCTCCCCACGATGCGCGATTGATGGCAAGTCGGACATGGTGATATCGGAGTTTGTATCCGTTCCCAGCGTCCAAATAGCTGTTGAAGTCTGCACAGTCTCTCTTGCCCCCTGAGTGCTGGCTCTTTGGTCCGTCTTCAGCGCTCCAGGCATGGAATCTATCACACCAAGCGCAAAACCAATGGCCGGGAAAGGCGCGCTCTACTACTGCCTCGATGGTCTTTCTCTTCTCGAAGCGGTTCCTGCTCCCCTCGACATGGCGAGAAAGGACTTCAGTGCCGAGAGCGTAGTAGACGTACCGACTTGAAAGGCAGAAGGCTGCTGCCGAGGAAGTGTCGAGGTAGGTATTGACTTGTTGAATGAGTTCGAGTGGGAGACTGAGGATCGGAGTCTTCCGCGCCGGTGTTGGTAGCTGCTTGATTGTGGCCATGGAATCTGCGACGTCGTGCTCCTCGAGAGTGGAATCCATGCTCGTTCTTGAACTTGCGGTGTCGGACGCAGATGAGTTGATGGTCGATGGACGCGATGACTGTGCAGAGCTAGAGCTCATGGACCGGCGAAAGATACCCATGATGGCGACTCAGATTTTCTACTGTCTGACTGAAGATGCGAGATAGCGAAATGAGGCTGAATCCAGGTACCAGCGCCAGAGACCCCTTATGAACTACAACTATAAACTGAATGTGCCAGCATGTGACGAAGAACAAGATTAGTCAAAGAACACGTCCAAAAGCTGCCACATAGTCGTTGCAAATTCGACGCCGCCTCGCGCGGCCACCGCATCCCCTTATCAATGCGTCTGCCGACGCACGACATGTCATCCGGCGGCCGTTTCTAACAGGCATGACAGTGGCACGCAACACGCTTGGCACGCTGGAACTAGGCACATGCCTACCAATCTACCGGTCTCAGGGACCAGACGACATGCCCGGCGGTGAAGGTGAGACGGCCGTCATTCACCAAACACACGTGCGCTGACCAAGTGGGGCTTAGCGCAACGTTGACAACGTGGGTGTGGTGGGGTATGCCTGTAAGCGCCCTCCGCGCCGCCACTGTCGTCTTGATAGCGTGCAAGATTCTAGCCGGGTGAGTCAGACAGAGAGCAGGTTTGACGAGATAGTGTTTGAATATTAGATCGAAAGGCAGGTGTAAACGCTATGCTATGCAGAAAAATAGCGGCTTCGATATGCTTCGCTGTCGTGCGAGGCATGTCTCATGCAAGCCCAAATTATAGATGTATATAGTACACATGCGCTTCTAGCTCATGGTGCGCAAACCCAGGTCATTTCATTACAACTTCTGGCCGTCGTCAATCGTTCCTCTCTCCAATGCGGTCTACTTGGGCAACTCGGGGTTCAGCTTGAGCTGCGGTACGGGAGGGCCGGTTCCAGCTCTCCGCCTGCGCTCACGCTCGTTGAAGCCAACAGGCTGGTCCAGCTGTGTGGTCTTCTTGAATCTGCCACCCAGATTGCGCATCCAGTCCTCGCCCTCGCCGGCATCAGCACCGAGCCAGTACTTGGGGGAGCCGCTGAGCATGACGCGGCCCAGTTTGCCCTTCCAGCCGCTGCCCTCTTCTTTGCCCTCTGCGAAGGGGTTCTCTGCGAGGTCAGTGGCGGATGTTTGCATGTTGTTCGAGTTGTACCATGCAGCGGAGGAGGCGTTGGCAGCGATGTGTTGGCGGAGGCACTGGCGGGCGAAGGCCAGCATGATGAAGACAAAGTAGACGCGAAGGGCCCAGAAGCCGGAGATGAGGGAGATGGACATGATACTTCCGCTCTGGAAGACGGCGTTGCCGAGTCCGGCGCCACCATCTGCGCCCTGCCCGACTGCTACGGCGTGTTGGCCGGCTTGCATGCCCTCGGTTGGCTCGGCGATGATGTCAACCTGCGTGACGTTGTGCTTGGGGCTTGTGAAGCCTGCGTTGTCCTTCATGCCGGGCGACAGTCCAGCGTTCTCATCGGGGTGTGCGGCGAGTGTGTAGAACCATGCGATGCCGAAGAAGGCTGTGTACAGGGCGTTGATGACCGAGTCGAGCGCATAGAGATGCGCCAGGAGGACCGACTCAAAGGGACTTTGTAATCGGATGTGCTTGTACAGGAATGTGGTAGCGACGAGCGCAAAGGTCGAGTAGAGGTACATGGACAGCTGCCAGCCGTCGATTTTCGCTCCCGTAAGCAGCGCGAGGAGGCCGTAGACGCCGGACGCCTTGTTGATGACCTGTAGGAAGGTGATGACTTCGGCGCCTGTGCGGAGCGACATCTTCTGGAGGAACGTCTGCAGGCCAGAGTCAGTCTCGTCCTGTTACAGCACGTGGTATCGACTGCCTGGGCGCGTCGTGTTGCTGGACTTACCTTGGGCCTGGGGATCTCGAGCAGGTGAGAAGGCGCCATCATGGTCGCGGCTGGTCGCGGAGTCAATCTCCACGTGTATGTGAAAGCGGAATAGGCGTAGCTATGCTCTGGCTAAAACTGGAGTTTGGCTGCGTTTGGTAGGGAGACGACGTTGACCGTGAAAGAGGCTGATGGATGACGGATGCGCCCGGCACTGGGAAATTGGCCCATGTGCTCATCTCGCGCTAGCCCCTTTCCACGACTCGGACGCGCCCTTGACACTTCGATGCACTGTGAAAACTAGACACTGTAGTTGACCTTGTCCCTTTACTACAGCAATGCATATTTGGAGTTGTTTGCAGACATGAAGAATCTCAAGTCTGTAACACTAGTCTTTATAAGTCTCTTGCTAACATTTAATATTGGCTGCGAGGTAAGGCCTATCATTTCTATACTCTTTCCTTTTGTATGCGGTCCATGCAGTCTCCGCAATGAGCTCACATGGATCCATCACAATTACGACTAGTTGTTGTTTCCACAATCGTCGGCCTTGCATCTACAATCGAGTTTCAAAACCCAACCCAGGCCATCTTGGTGATGACGTAGCCCGCGCCAGTAGCCGCCAGCCTTCAGCCTCCGCTCGACCTGCGACACAACATCGCATGTAGTCAAACAACATCTAAAACTACACTTGACCCATACTACTCTCCGCAGTTCCTACATCCACTAGTCGACATGGCAGATTACGCACCACCTGCGCCAAAGCTCCGCGAGCAAGATCTCAAGGGCAAAGTCGCCATTGTCACGTAAGACATGTTTCTACACTTGAATTTCCCTGTGCCTTTGAAGAGGTTATTCCTCTCAACCCGTACATGCTCTCTCGCATATATACCTCGGGAAGATCTAACCCAAAGTAAGCGGTGCATCAAAAGGGATAGGGCGGGCGATATCTCTCTCACTCGCAACACGCGGCTGTTCCATCTTAGGAACCTACTCGTCCCCCCAATCCGCCCACAACTTCGACACTCTCTCATCCACAGTCCGTGACCTCTATGCTTCTTCCAACAATGAGGTTCCAACCATGCGCGGCGTGGTCGCAGACATAACATCTCTCCCCTCCATCGGTACTCTCCTCACAGCTCTCGCTAACCATTTCTCCGGCAAGAAACTCAGCATACTCGTCTTCAACGCAGCCTTCAATACTCGACCTAGGATAGGTAGCGCCAGTGAAGCAGACATCAGCCACTCTCTAACAGGAAACTTGCACTGGCCAATCGTTCTCATGGAAAATCTGGTGCGTCAGGATCTCTTCACGCCACACAGCCGCGTCGTAGTCATCTCTTCAGATCGCGTACGAGACCCCTCTCCTGGATCTGGACTGTTCAATGCTACGCGTGCAGCAATGGAGTCGCTGGTGCGATCGTGGGCCATTGAGTTGCCGCATAGCTTTCCAGGAACGACAGTGAATGCTGTGTCTGTGGGACTGACGGATACACCTGGCTTGCGGTCCTTTCCCCCAGAAGCTGTGCGGGCGTTGAAGGACCAGAGGCTACCAAAGGTCAAGGTCGCCGAGGGAGGAAGAATGGGACAGGCGGAGGATGTAGCCGATGTTGTAGGGTTTCTAGTCAGTGAGCAGAGTAGATGGGTTAGCGGGAGTGTGATGGCGGCGAATGGAGGGGCTGAGTGGGTTGGTGGGAGTTCTTGAATGGTTGAGAGTCGAGCTTCTTCATACTGGTGGCCGCATGTGCGACGGGCAAGGTCTCGAATTGAAGGTGGTAGTACAAATCTAATACTTTGACGTCTCGTCGTAACTCTACAAACGCTCAACATGGTGCCGCTGCCATTGTCTCGCAACATTGTCGACTATGGGGAAGGGTAGTTACAGATAGCTAGAAGATACAATACGTAATACATGCATTCATGCAAAGGAGCCGTTGTGTATGACTTGTACCATCACAAAAACGTCCCAAAGATACACACGGTCACTCTTTCGTGAAGATTTCACGTAGAATCTCGTGTATACCTTTGGGAGAATCTCGTGTATTTGTACAAGATCATCTAGTGACTAGTTTGTATGACATCGTGCCGGCTTGCTTCGTTCGGCGTGCGACCTTGCAAAAGTTCGTCGACTTCGTCCGAGAGCTTCGAATTGCGTTTCTCGTGTTCGGCTGCGAGCGAGTCCAACTTGCTGGCCGGCAAATTATCTTGGTATCCATTCGCAGCAATTTGTTGCTTCAACGTTGCTACCGCGGGCCCGTCCACTTCGTCCACTTCATCCACATCCTCAGGCTCCGCGACCATGGCCTTTCTTGCTTGTCCTCTGCTTGCCTTCATCCGTAGCCTCGCCTGCTCGATGAAAGAAAAGTCATTCAGCGTCTTTTCGATTTGATCTTCAACAAGCTTCTTTGTGTAGTTGGCAAGAGACCTAGTGGTGAAGACATTGGGGAACCGGTAGCTCAACCATAGATAGCACACAATCATTTTGTGAAGCTGCTCCAGTTTATAAAGGTATGAGCGGTCGCCGGAAGGAGGCAAGTCCATCGTTCCGAGGGGAAGAGTGTCAAGGTCCAACAGACTACCTGATTTGCCTTCTGCGATACACGCAGCTAGCTGGCGAAGGAATTCTCTTTCATGCGCGTCGCGCATGCTGATAGGCGCGGCGCAGATTATGATACGATCTTGGACGCTCAGACCTTTCACAGCATGGATGTTATCGGCAATCGCCAGCTGATCCTTGAGCTCACAGAGGTGGAATCGAGGGTGTATCTCGGAAATTTCATGTAGACGTAGCATTATGTAGCTGAAAGGCGTGCCTGGGGGGAAGTAGTTTGCGAATCGCTCAACGATGAGAGACGGAGGAAAGAGGCCAGCTGAGTTGATCTGCTCGGGTTCGCGTTTCATGCCCAGCTTCAAGTTGGCGTGGTCGATGTGGTCCAGTGTAGTGACCCAGCCTACAGTCTTCGCTTCAGGCCTCTTTGCCTCGACGGCATCCGGTTGCTTGTCATCCAGGCCGATGGCGGGGTCGACAGCCCTGTCAGCAATCGAGGTTTGCTCCGAATCAGTAGTGGTCGCTTGGTGAGCGGTCTTGTAGCGGCCAGCGCGACCCGCAATCTGCTTGATCTCTGATATCTGCAAGGGCACATATGCCAAACCATTGCTTTTGATGGTAGATTCAAATATGACGCGCTTGATGGCACTGCACTAGTCAGCATCAGCCGCAGAGCGGAGTAAGGTTCCACTTACAGATTGAGGCCCATGCCGATGGCGTCACTGGCTACTAGGAAATCGTAGTCGTTGTCCGGGTCGTTGAACAAGCGTGCCTGTTGGGCTCTTGTCTCCGGCGGCAAGCTTCCGTATACTATGGCGCACTTCTTCCCCGTCTTCTTCTCAACCTCTCGGCGCAACGCGTGGATACCCAGGACGGTAAAGGCGACGATGCAGTCACCCTTCTCGAGCCTGTTGAGATTTCCCCTCAGACTTTGAGCTTGCACCTCGAGTGGCGTCAGACGCTCGTACTCGTGTACATGTACCTTGTCGCCAACGAGGGCACAGAGCTCGCGCATCAGCGGCACCGTCCGGGCTTCTCCACAAAGATGGATCTCCTTGGCTTGCAAGCCTAGGAATGCCTGTGTCCATGCCCACCCTCGCTCTTTATGGCTGATCATCTGGATCTCGTCGATGACAGCTACGTCAAACTTGGTGTTGAGCGGAGCCATCTCGACAGTGCAGCTGTACATGTTGGCGCGAGTGTCGTCGGGCATGCGTTGCTCCTCTCCGGTAACCAAAGCGCATGGCTTTCCCTTTGCATTCAGGCGCGTGTAGACTTCATGGGCGAGGAGACGTAGTGGACCGAGGTAGATGCCCGAGTCAACTTGTTCAAGGCGCTTCAAGGCGTGGTATGTCTTTCCAGAGTTGGTCGGCCCAACATGCATGTGTATTGTGCGAGTAATCTCTCGTGTCGCCGGGTACCACTCGGCGGGATAGCGCAAATCCGCCACTTCCTTCTGGTTCTCCAACTCTGCCGTCGTGAAGCGTCCGCCACAGGCCTGCGCATAGAACATGTATCGCAGCCTCGTCTCGAGCGTAGCCTTTTTCCGTTTGGCCTCACTCACCAGAGACACCAACTCTGGCGGCGCCTGCTTGATCCATAGGCTGATGGACCGCTCGAAGGTGAGCCATTCCTCGTCGAACTCCTTGGGGCTTAACTGAAGACTGTCGAGGAACTCTGGCTTCACGAATTCCTGCCGTATTATGTCTAGTTTGTCCCGGACTATGTCAAACGAAGGACTGGGGGAACGATAGGCTCCTGATCGGAAGGGGTTCTTTTGCTTGAGCGGGTTAAACGACGAGGTCTTGCTGCCCGAGAGTTGTGATCGTTGCGCGGCCTGGATGCGTGGTAGGAGGCGTGGGGGATGCGATCGTGAGCGGGCGGCGAAAGAGCAAATGAGACACAGCGAATTCCGCCGCGCTGGCAGTAGAGGCATGCCAATGGTGGGTATCGTGCGCGTAGAATGGGACCAGAAACTATAGCGCCATGCGCCTGCAACAAAAGAAGAGCAGCAAAAAATCCAAGTCAAGTCGACGATGTCATGTCGAACAAAAAGTTAGCCAAGCATCTGCTAGACACCTCCGGCGGGCAAGGGACCGTCGCCGCAACCTTCCAGGGTTGCGACACGACCTCTCTAGCTGCGACGCGCTCCCCACACCACCACCACCGCCCAGCCCAGCACCACGCCCACCGCGTCCACCCAGTCCCGCTGAACACGCACCCTCGGCCCTCTGCTGCGACACAGCTGCACTCTCCGCCGGCATATTTTCCCTCGCCGGCATTGGCTGCCCTACCCCGCCAATATGGCGTCCATGATAGACATCCAACGAGAGCGTATGCGGCAACCTTGGGCACACAGAAGAGACGGCTGCTGACAGCACACACAGTCATTCTCAACTCGATCAAGCAGACCACCCGCGGCGACGTATGCAACCCCTGGCCGGCGCCCTTACATCGCTAACAACTCGTGCACAGTGGAAGATACTCATCGTGGACGAGGACAGCCAGAAGCTGATCAACAACGTGGTCAAGGAAGATGACATCCTCAACCTCAACATTACAAGTATGCGACGCTGAACCCTGCCGGAGCGCCACTTTCTGACCTCGCAGACATCGAGCGCATCGAAGACCGGCGGCAGACGATACGTGACATGGACGCCATATACATCATCACACCCAAGCCGCACATTGTCGACTGCATGATGGCCGAGTTCGACCAGCGCAGATACCGGGGCTTCTTCTTGATATGGACCACGTTGCTGCCACCACACCTCAAGGAGCGCATAGACCGGTCGCAGATGGCACGCGAACAGATTCGGAGCTTCCGGACGGTGCACCTCGACTTCCACCCCCAGGAGTCGCACCTCATCACCTTCAAAGACCCCTGGAGCTTCCCCATCCTCTACCACCCCGAGTGCAACAACCTCGTAGTGCGACACATGGAGGACATTGCTGAAAGAGTAGGCGCCTCTCCTCCCCAAGCCACCTCCGCTAACAGCCCAGATAACTGGCATCTGCGTCGCACTGGGCGAATACCCCATCATCCGCTACTACCGACCACGGGCCCCGACCCACGAGGCCAGCGTCTTGTGCTCACATCTTGCCCGCTTCGTCCAGGATAAGCTCGACATGTACGCCCAGTTCAACCAAGACTTTCCCCCACAGTCAAACCGGCCCCGCGGTGCCCTCTACATCACCGATCGATCCATGGACCTCATGGCTCCCTTCCTCCACGAGTTCACATACCAAGCAATGGCCATGGATCTGCTGCCGATACAGGACAGCGACAAGGTGACGTACCGCACCATCGTCAACGAGGAGGATCCCGCGGCCGAGGAAAAGGACATGGAGATATCCGACAAGGACAAGATATGGGTCGAGAACCGCCACCGACACATGAAGGACACCCTCGACAAGCTGATCAGCGATTTTCAAAAGTTCATCGCCGACAACCCCCATTTCACCAACCAGGATGCCCAGAACGCCGCCGGCATGAATGGACTGAATGCAATCAAGGACATGATCGCTGGACTGCCGCAGTTCCAGGAGATGAAGGAAGCCTACTCTCTTCATCTCACCATGGCGCAGAAGTGCATGGAGATATTCCAGAAGCACAAGCTCCCGGATCTGGCTTCCGTCGAGCAGGTAAGTCGCACTGACCGTAGGCTCGCACCGTTGCTAACCTTTGCAGTGCCTGGCTACTGGCCTTGATGAAGACTACCGGAAGCCCAAGAACATGACTGACCAGATTGTGCGCACCCTGGACGATGAAGAGATAACGCCAGCTGACCGACTACGACTTGTCGCGCTCTACGTTCTCTTTAAGAATGGGATCCTACCAGCCGACCTCCAGAAGCTCCTCTTCCACGCACAGCTGCCGCCCACCGACGGCGAAGTCGTTCGCAACCTTGACCTCCTTGGAGCGCGAGTCGCCAGACAGCTCAAAGAGAAAAGAGACGCTCCGCCACCGCTTTTCCCGCCTAAGCCAGCCCCGCCACCAAATGCTGAGGATTACGGCTTGTCTAGGTTCAATCCCGCGTTGCAGGATATGCTAGAAGAGCATGTCCGCGGCAGCCTGCCGCAGGATGTCTTTCCCTTCACAAAGATGTCGCCCGACGATGCCGCGAGCATGGCACAAGAGAATGCTGCGCCTGCGTCACTGCGCTCTGCAAAGCCGACATGGGCCAAGTCGCGGCTCGCAAGTGCAGAGCCCCGTCAGCGAGTCATCGTATTCGTAGCTGGTGGCGCAACCTACTCCGAAGCCCGCGCCTGCTACGACGTTTCAAATAAGACCTCGAGAGACGTCTTCCTCGTCACGTCGCACATGATGAAGCCGCAGCTCTTTCTCCGCCAGGTTGGCGATCTCAGTCAGAACCGCCGCAACCTGCGCTTACCCATCGACCAACCACAACCGAAAGCTCCAGCGCATCTGTTCGAAAAGCCTGAGCCGCCAAAGCCTGCGCCGCCCCCTGCTGGCACCAAGCCCCCTATGCCTGGAGGCCTACCGTCCGGTCCCAGAGTCGCTGGTCCAAAGCCCCCGACCGCCGCCATGGGCGCCATTAATCTCAACGGCCAGCCACAAAAACACAGCCCTTCGTCCTCGCAGAGCAGCACGAAGCCTGGCAAGGAAGAGAAGGAGGGCAAGGAAAAGAAGAAGAAGAAGTTGCATTTGTTTTCCTCCAAGCATTAGTGGGGCTTGTTAACGTTTCTTGCTAGGGCGGTGCATACCTTTCTGGCGTTGTTTTGCTTTGTTCATAGCGAGGATTGATACTGCTACATCTGCTCTTCTTGTGAGGTTACTGCATAACAGGCATGGCGTTGGTTGGCTTGCGTAATATCTCTGGCGACTGCCCAGGCTTATTTGCTTTGCTGTGGGTAATAGATGGCAAGGATGTCGTTTGATAGACCAAGTTGGAAAAGTACTCATCACCACTCTTGCTTTCCTCAGACTTGTAGTGCTCTGGATCAGTCGGAATATGCTTTGTGTCTTCCTACCTCGGATTGTAGTCTCCCCTGACTGATATCTCGTGTTTTCTCTCATACCCCAAAGTCCAGACTAGTATGCCCATTTAGTTGAGTAGTCCCTCGGACTGACAACAAGCCCCTTTCCCTTGCTCGCTCCCCTATACACGGCTTCTAAGATGTCAATCAACTCCTGCTTCGTGCCAATAGGAAAGTTGATCTTGTTGTTGTTGCCCGTGCCAAAATCGACTTGCATGTGCTTGTTGCGCCAAAAGAACATGACGGTGCAGGGATCGTAGATCTCGTACATGGCGTTGAAGTCTGGGACTTGCTGTTGTAACATTAGCATGGACAGGCGAGGGACAACAGCACAAGTGAGGGAAGGGAACTCGCCTGGTTGTCAACGACGTAGATGGCAACCCAGTCTTTGACTGCATCGACAATCTTGTATAGCATCTCGTCCATCTCCATACATGCGGGTGTGTAGTCGTTTCCGAACCGGAGGCATACTATGCGAGCCTCTTCACTGAGCTACGTAGTGTGAGCGGCCGGCACGGAGTGAGCAAGGAGGAACGTACAATGGCCTGATCGACGTGCCACGCGGAGGGGAGGTGTTGTAGCATCACTGAACCCATGATGACGATTTGTTGAAAGAGACTTGAGAGGGACGTGGGAGAGTCGCAGGACAGTGTGGGTTATCTTGCAGCAGTGAATGATGAAATAAGAGTGGACGGAGCTGAGGAAGGTAAGATCAAGTCGCTCATCGCGTGTCGTGTTTACCTACGACTATATTGGGCAGTTTCGTTTGCTCCCAGCTCGCTGCCTACAACAGAACACATCCTTACATTTCATTTGCGCCGTTCAGGAAACCATACGCCGCCGCAGAAGTACAGATAAAGAAATTCGGTTCATGCCAACAGCCTAATATCTCACACCCGTCGAGTAGTATTCCTCCACCGTCTGCTCAGGCGCATAGTATTCCGTCCGACCACTAGGCGCAACATTCCCTGTCCGCTTCGCCACCATCTCCCGCACAAAAGCCTCATAACTCTCGTACGGTCGTCCAGCTGCCTGTGGATGTTTTGCTGCCCAAGCAAGGAACGCCGCTTTCTGTTCTTCTGCGGCCTGTTGCTCTTGTTCCAAGGACATTTTTTGCTTCTTCGCTTTCTTGCTTGCGGGGCCCGGGGTTCGTTGTCCAGTCACGGGATCACGACCAGCCGCTTGACGTGCTTCAGCGAGAAGGTCGTCGCTGGTGGGTGTATCTGAGGGATGAGACGTTCTGTTGGCATTGCCGGATTTCTGGTATGGATTTGACTTTCCGCGAAGCTTATTGATAGGGGACAGTAACGCTGATGTGATTGATAGCCCAGCCATCTCTGGGGTTGATGTGGAGCAAGTTCCGCGCTCCTGTGAGACTGGTATCGTACTTGTCGAGCGTATCGAAACTTAGACGAAAGGCTGTCGAAGCCTATCCACCTGGTCTCCCAAACGTGGATGCAGCACGCTGAGGGTTTCACAGAAAAGTATATCCCAAGGACCTTTCACTGTTGTTGGACAAAACACTCCGGTGCCGTTGAGTCGAGATCACTTTGCAGGTTCCCAACTCTTACGAACAAATACTATCCGAAGCTACTGCGTTTATACTTTGTTGAAGACGGACAGCACATCGTGGTGGCAGCCTACAAAAAGTCAGGGGTATGAGCGGTAAGGCGCCCAGCTAACCGCATTGAGAGCGGACGATGAAGAAACAGACAAGTGCCAATAAAGTCGAGTCGTACTGATCAGGGACGGATGCCAGGACTATTTTGAGCATGTGGAACAAAATTACCAAGCTATCTACGAGAAAGTCATTCTTACGAGATCTACCTCCAAGCGCAAAACCTGTTTTGGAAGATACGCAGAACTGTTACGATTTGAGTAGAAAAGTAAAAGTGTCTACCTTTGGATAAATCGGTTAGAGATGAACTTCTTCGTACAACAAACAATAAACATGTCGGAATAAGCGCAAATGCACAAGATATCAAACCGTTTCGAGGTGTAGCGAAGCACGACAAGGCGACACTGGTAATGTGCTTGCCGAGCGATGAAGTGAAGAAATCCAGCAATTAAGAATCTGGAGGGCTGGAAGAAATGAAAACAAAAACGCCCAAGAGAGGCAGTTAGCTGGCCGCCCACATTACCACATCCTCCCCTTGCCCTTGCTGCCAGCCGCTGGACTAAGCGGTGGAAAAGCGTCTTCGGCATCCTTCCTACTCTGCTCTTCAGCAAGACTCAACTGCATGGCAAACTCCAAATCCGACATCTCGCTCTCATTGCTCGATCCAGCAGTGGTCCTGTCTTTTCTGGGGGTGCTGCCCTGAGAACGTGACGGCAGAGACTTTTTGCCCTTGGCATACTTGATTGGAATGTCGAATGCGGAAGGCGGCGTAGTGGCGGGTTCATACATGTCAGCACCAGAGCTCTCATTAAGAGAGAGGCGAATAGCTTCAGCAATGTCAGCATCCAGCTCTTCATCATCTTTGACGGCAGGTGACGAAGGCTGAGCTTGGATGCTCGGCTCTGGCGTTACAGTCTCACTGCTGAAGGCGCTACTCTCGCGCTCGATGCGGCGCAGCTCCTCCGCCTCCATGGTCTCCTGGGAAAGCATCGCGGCGTATGCCAAAGCTTCGTCCTCGCTCAATAGCTCCGTACCAAAACGACCAGCCAAGCGCTCGGCCTGCTTTTGACGTTCTTGCCTGTCACGCTCCAGCTCAGAATGCTCGTTGGCGATGTAGTTCTTCAAGTTGACTCTGCCCGTGCCAGCAAAGCGCTCGGCAGTATTGTTACTTCCGCGTTCAGCTCTTCGAAGTCTACGTTTGCTGCTTCTGTACTGGTCAGCGGCAGATGAGCTGTAACTCCAGAACCGAAGCTGATTGCCAAGCGATACTGCGCCTCGCAAGACAGTCGGATCAGGGTCCAGACATACGGCACCGGCAGCGAACATGTTGATGCCGACTCCTTGGACAGAGGCTTGAGCCTGTACGAGCTGTCTCCGAGCACGCGAAGCATGTCGAGAGTGAAGTGTTGTGATAGGTGACATACTCGAAGCCAGCGGGTCCCATGCCTGTACCAGGCCGTCATTTCCGCCTGCTACGAGATAAAGAGAGGTGACAGCCAAGCATGATATCTCTGGTGAGTCAGTGTAGATGATCCGAAGAGGGTCGATGTTGTTTGTATAGTCGGACGAGCGCGATGTGGGCGCCCGGATATCCCAAAGCAGCACTACACCAGACTTGGTGCCAGCAGCTACAAATCTCGCGCGCTGACCAGGAATATCAGAGGGAGATGCAGGCTGACTTGCAACTGACATTGGGGAAGCGTAGGGCGAAGACGCAGTGGAAGAAGTCGAGAAACCGAGCGCGGGATCTTCAGACAGGGTTAGAGTGGCGAAAGTAGACACGTCTAAAGTGGTAGTGGTAAGCTGGGTGCTCTTGAAGCCGCCGAAAGTGAGTCTTGAACACCTCCATTCTTCTTCGGACAGGCTTGCTCGTTCTGGCGAACTCGTAGTCGACATGTACGAAGAACTGCGCTGGCGAAGAGAAGAAGAATCCAGAGTTCCCGTGCCTGGACCACCGAACAGGGATGTAGTCGGCGCAGGCTGAGGCGTCATGATACGACTCGAGGTAGTCGTATTTTTTTCTTGGTCAGTCTTGCATCGAGTGAAACGTCTAATGTCCGCAACGTCTCCTTCTTCAAGCCCGCATTCGAAGACGACCATGGCCTCTCCAGCGTGGTTGCCGTCATCGCCAGCAAAATCGACCTCAAGTCTTCGACGCATATCCCATCCAAGGCACGTCTTTCGGAAATGCTTAGGTTCCTTGCGAAGGAACTGTTGTATCTCTCTGGTCTCGGCGGTGATCTGTTCCTTGCTCAAGCACATGCCGTCCCACGATGTTCGAGGCGAGTAGCTGCCGTCAACATCGGCATCGCTGTATGGATCTGGTCGTGCAGTGCGCCGGCTAGGCTCTACGAGGTTCCAGTATACGCTGCGACCAGTCAGCCAGCCCAGATATTCTGAGTATTGCTCAATGTCATCCTTTGGGGCCTGGCTGCGGGTTGGAAATTTGGTCAAGTAGAAGACCTCGCCGAGAGCGTTCAGAGCGACCGCCCAAATGCGGTTCTGAGCATAGCGCTTGGCTGAGTATTGCTCGTCTACGGCGATGGCGATGATGGGTACGCCTGGACTAAGAACCCAGCGCGCAGTCAGCTCGCCACGCTGTACGCGAGATGTACGGAGACCATCTGTACCAATACTGCAGGCACTAACGACACCAGCTGCAGAGCCCATCATCATCCCAACCAAACCTTCCGAGAGCGTGGGGATTGTGCTCGACTTGGCGATCCAGACACTGCAGATGGCACCACCGTCGATACCTAGTTTCGGTATACCGACTTCTGGCATACTGAAATCGCTGGGTTCGGCTATGAAGCGACCGCGCATCTCCTCGAGGGAACGATAGTAACACGAGCCTTCTGGACAGCCCTGGCCATAGATCATGCCATACGGCTGCGATATGTCCATGACGTTGGGCCGTCCGACAACGTCTCCGGAGCCCAGTCCCCACTCAGCGACACCAGGAAAGCGTTCTGAAAATTGACCGTAGAAGTGGGGGTCGCTTTGTCCCCACGGATCGACTTTACCAGTTGTCGGATCGCTGCTGGTCACCATGCCAATATCGTCTGCACCATGAATGAAACGCGGCATCTTCTTGTTCAGACCAGAGCCAAACGTTGCCTGCAAGTGATTTATGATGGTATACGTCTTGGCATCGTAGGTTATCATTGGGGTGACTGTCTGCATCTGAGCAGCGCGGGATGGTGTTGAGGGGACCTGCACAGGCTTGCCTCTAACGAGCGATCGCAAGAGTCTGGTGCGTAGAATATACTCGCTCCTCCACGAAGCCAATGCCGTGAGCCTAGTGAAGCGTCTCTTTTCTGACCGCACGACCAAGCCATCGCCCTCAAGAGCTGAGCGGAACGCGGCGTCTTCGAGCGAAAGGGGGCCGGGGAAATAGCGACCAAAAGCCACCTGCCAGGCGTGTGGGGTGGTGACTGCATCATGGAAACGGCGAGAGACAAGGGAAACGGCAGCAAGGTCGTTCGGCGACAGGTGGGCAATGGCGTGAATCAGGACCTCTGTGCAAGGTCAGCTCGTGTCCAAATGTTAAGCATTGTCAGTCTCGCGTTGTACACACCATTTGGCAGCTTCGAGATAGGAGAGTTCTTGTCGCTAGGCTTCTTGTTACTCTTAATAATCTCAAACAGGGGCCCATCAGCAGGTTTCCGTGGTGAAATCTTCAGCGCATTCTCGTATTCAGTGATTCTATCCCTCGGTGGCGGCGAGGGGGACGCGATGCGCTTCAGTCCGTCTGGTTGCACGGTATCGACGACCCCATTGCTGGCCTTGTCTGGACGCGTCGCATCGGGCGGTGTTCCCGCGTCTCCCCACAGCTCACCCGAGTGAGGCTGCAGAGAGCCCTGCAAGTCATCGCTGCGGTGCTGTCCATGCTGGGATGCGGTGGCGGGGTCGGGAAAGGTCTGTACGTGGGAAACGTTTTGTGATACGTTTGTAGGCTCTGGCTGCATAAAATTGTGGAAATGGTTCGTGGATGAGTGCAGTCGACCGAGCTGAATGGCAGTGCTCAGTCAAAGTGAATGGATGTGTTCGCGAGGATGTATGGTTTCGTGGTGTTGGTGCGAGGAGAGTTTGGGGGTGAAGTTGATGACTCGGTTTGGGGTTGCCAAGATAAGAAATGTAGTGACTGATATGACGATCGCCACTCCGAGATGGAAGCTGCGAACGTGGGGTAGCAACAGAGATGGCACTGGCAAATCGCATCAACAGACCCACTATTACCTTCGCATGTGGCACTTAGAAACGTCACGAGTACCGCTTAGTATCTTGTTAGTTGGTCCATTCCGATAAGTTCCGAAAGAAAGAGGCACCGTCACAGGAGCTTGTTGTCTCTTTCCTAATCGCAAAAGCTACGCAATTTTGAGGTCAACGTTAACAGGAAGGTCATAATGTTTGCCTTTAGGATCAATTAGTCCTTAGGGCAGAACTAAGAAGAAACGAGCTTCTTTGTGTGAATCATCTATACGTACAGCCAAGAACAAAACGCCAACCGGTCAACAGTCATAATCAAGGCACATACAGCCGTGAGTACGCGGCCACGTTCGTCCTGCAGCATACACACGCAGTATAGTTTTTCGACGCCAATCCCACCCGGCAATCATCGCACAAGCTCAAGCACCCACACGGCCATACCAGCACAGTCCTTGGCGACATCTGACAAACCACACACTGTGGTCCCTCCGAGCCCATGCCCTCTGCTCCCGTGTCCCAGCTCCCAGCATTGCTCGCGCCCTGCGGTGCAGCCGCGCTCCGGCGACTGAGGATGAGATCTTCCAGAAGCTGCTCCTCTTCTTCTGCAGACATGCTGACACTATCACCCATTTTGTAGCGTGATGTTGTTAGGATCTTGGCTTCTTCGCGCTCCATAGCCCTGCGGTACTGCGAGCGTGTCATGATGTTGGAGCTCTGTAGATGGCGTGACAGCAGCTTGGCTTCCTCTCGGTCCTCCCTGGTCTTTGGGTCGAGGAGTTGAGAAAGACGGGAGAAATCCATTGCATCGTCAGCCAAGGGTGTTTCTTCCCGACTCCGCTGGTATGTATCGCGTGTAGGCGTCCTTTGGCCATCGTCAACGTCTGACCATTCATCGTTGTCTGTCGTGGTAGCATAGGATACGACGCTCGTAGTGTCGTCGTCTTGTGGAACAACATAGTCCCGGCTGTTATCAACCTCGTTCCAGAGACTGCCGTTGCGCCACCAGGAGTACAGATAGTCGTCGAGACGATCCTCTGAGTCCTCGGCATCTGGTTGAGAGTAGAAGCCACTCTGTCGGAGCCTCTCCTTTGCGAACGACTCCACGTCGAATTCTCGATTCTGACGGACTCGGGACCGGTCATCCATGGTAAGCCATGGCTCTTTTGCTGATGTAGTTTGGTTTTGGTATCGGCCTGCTCCAGCTGCTGAAGCATACATCTTTCCATCGTCATCAACAAGTCCCACAGTACGTCGTAGCCATCTAGGCCGGTAGCTGATCCCCACTTTGGCCAGTGCCCAGTCTGTGATCTTTGCAAGGCTGAGGACGATCAACTTTGATATGCGAAAGAAGAATTGGTATGTTTGGAGATAGCGACTGCGTTGCTGGAGCGCGGGGTCATTCTGTCCCATGGCATTAGAAGAATCTGCAGAGGCTACACCTCGCGTCTTGCGCTCTCTTGCGTAGCCTGACGATGATGTATCCGTCCTGACATCACTAAGCTCGTCAGTCACCTCAACGCCCTGCGCAAACGTATCGTTTCTGAGTTCAGATGGAATGTTGGTGATCATCTCTCGGGTTTTTCGTCGTCGAGCGAGCAGTTCCTGTAATCTCTGTTTTTCAAGCCAGGTCATTGCATGGACATTGACTCTAGTTCCCTCGTTAAGGAACACGGCTTCACTCGCCGAGGTCAGAATGACATAGCCTACCTTGAGTATAGTGGTGTAGAAGTCTTCGTGCCAATTGATGGTCAAGGGTGTGATCGAGGATAGATGAATGTTGGCATGTAGATTACCATAGGCCAAAGAGAACCTCTCTCCCAATGTCAGATTTTCGGTGCGTCCTGCAGGCGGGGATATTACGGGAACAAGGAAAGCCAAGAGGTAGATTAGTGCGCACACTGCGATGCCCACGAGTATCAGCAGGTGTGGGATGAACCCAATGATGCAAACAGTGGGAAATCTCAAGATGCCCACATAGTGATCTGGATCAGTGACCATCCTGGTGAGACGGACACAACTCCAGGCGAAAGCTGACATGTATGCTAACCCACACATTGTGGTCGTCACTAATCGCCATCTCGAGCGCACCCCGGCAATTGCTAACAGGTTGCTTATGAAGTGGCTTACACTAGAGATGAGGGATATCAACAACACTTCTGGCGGCACGTTGGCCATCCTGGAAAGCTTCGACCTTGGAATCATGAGGGAGGTGCCGTCTGGGGTGAAGACCGACTTTGGTTTGAAGAAGCGTGTCGAATCGACCGCCAGCGGCTTCGTCACCACTGCCTCTGCCTCTGCAAATGCGAGCGAATGTTCAAATATGGTCATTCCAACTTCCTGGATCGGACGTCTTCCTTGCAGGGCGCACGCCAGGGTATCGACAAACTGACCAAACCCGAGGGTGACAAACATGGGCCATAGAAGCGCTAGTGACCCAGAGGACCGCGTGCCTGATGGATCCATGGGTAGCATGTTCGCAGCTCGGCATGAGTCCTCGGTGGTTTCCCAGAAGAGCACCGCTGATGCCACTTGCCACAGATAACCGCCTTCGCCGCCAAAGTCTGTGTCCAGCTGCCGTTCGTCCGCTCCATATTGCAATGTCGACCACCCTGGTGAGGTTTGGCATCGTATGGCTCGTAGGATGCTCTGTGCTTGGTAAAGGAACAGAACCAGGGGCATGATGTAGAGAGCGAAACGGAGGTAAAGGCGGTCGAAGGATAGCGGAACGCGACTGTTTCCATAGAAGTGAGTTCTGTTGAGGATGATTGCCTGCGAGCATGTATTTAGTACGAAAAGTGCAAAGTCCATGAGTTTAGGCTTACGATCGCGAAGGTTGCGATGGCCCATTTGGAAGTGATGTAGCTGAACCAGGCAGCTACATTCCTCAAGGCCTGCCATACTGTCATGTCGCCCTCAGGTGCTGCAGCCGCCGAAGCCGCAGCAGCAATGGATTCCTGCACAAAGCCAGGGGATGCAGTTGTCATGGTGCTGTTAGTCAGGTTGGCTGTCGGCTCTGCGATAACGCTTCCGCCCGAGCGCATCATGTCGCCAAGAGAGCTGGCTTTGGAGAACAGACGCGGCAGTGCCATGAGCAAGTCCGCCGGCGACGGCAAGAAGGAAGTCGCGTTGGCAAACGCGCCGGGAGTCTCCATTGCGGACGACTGCGGATCCGAGTATAACCAGAACTACGTGAAACGTCGAAGGGATTAGGCAGTTATTCGACTGGAAACATGGTAGCTGTGAAGTAGACACAATCCGCAGCAACAGTTGTGTCAAGCGTTATAGGAATGCTTGAAGGTGGGTGGTAGCTTGGTCCGCAAGTTGGCCGTGTGAAGCGTGGGGATGACGCGACCCGAGCGTGCGGGCTGCAGCTACCTGCATGGGTAAGCCTCCGCTCCACCTCCGAGGTATGGAGCTTGTTGGATAAGTTGTACCCAGCACACGAAACCTACTCCAATGGGATGAGTGATGACTTATACTAATGTAGGAGGGGATAGGATATACGGTTTGCGTTTGGGTGTAGTAGGCTAGAGGACAACACGTCACACGAGCTTCTTCCTAAACACACCACAGTCTTTCCTTAAAATGGTAATGAATACCATGAATTCACGTGCTAATAACTAGTCGGGTATAAATGAGCTCGCGTCTCCAATTTTACACCTGAAACTATACCTAGGCAAAGCTGACCTTGAAGGTGTACAATTTGTTGTACTTTAAACTTGCAGACAAAGTAGCAGGGTATGCCTTTAATGTATACCTGATGACAACGGGCTTCCTGGCATGCTGTAACAGGTCGAGCATCATGATTCACGCGAGTTTCCAAATCACGCACCTTGCGTGACTACACATGGCATTTCCAAGTTCTCTATATTCCAACGCCATTGATACGGGTATGGTACAATCATATACACTCCACAGCAGCTTCCGCCTACGCTGTCTTGGGCTTCTTTGTTCCGTACTTGGACCGCGAGGTGATCCGGCTACCAACACCACCCTACGACTTGTTAGCATCGTCTTTCCCGTTGACATTGACCGCTGTATGTCTTACCAGATCCAACGCTCCTCTGACCAAATGGTACTTGACACCGGGGCAATCTTGCGCGCGGCCACCTCGTACCATGACAACTGAATGCTGCTGTACGTTGTGCCCTAACCACTGGTTAGTCTTTCTGCCAGTTGATTCCACGCCGCTCTTCCATACCTTCTCCTGGGATATAGGCCGTAATGACCTTGCCCGTACTCAGTCTGACCCTCGCAATCTTCCTCTCGCCCGAGTTGGGTTTCTTCGGCTTCGTCGTTCCCACTTTCAGACATACGCCCTTCAGCTCCGGCCTATCCCTCAATTGTGGCGATCGGAGTTTTCGCGCCTTCTGCGCTATCCGCCCTTGTCGCAGGACTTGTATTAATGTGCATTTGTTTGCGCGCGATGCTGGTGCTGGGCTGACTGCGAAAGCCGGTGTGCTGTGCTGGAACGCGGTGGCGGCAATTGAGGGTCGGGTTGATCGCACCGGGGCGAATGGGGCTGCGGAGAGGGCCGAGGGCCGCGCAAGACGTCGGAAGAATGTGAGAGACATGGTGGGCGCTGTGGTGTGGCTCGAGTTGTCCGCGATGGACAAAAGTTCGAGTTGCACCAGCAGATGTGGCTGAGTCAGCTAACATTGCCGGTTGTATCGCCAGCCACGGACACGCCGGACGTTGACTTTATTGTCCATGCCAGAGGACCTGAATTACAACAATTGATTCTCTGACTGGATCACAAGTCTGCACTCAGTCTGAAATGAATGTTCTCACGGGGTGGTGACCGTCTAGCCTATTGAACACTTGCAGTACTGCGACAAGGACACAGATCCAAATCAACAACACGATCACGATATCGCCAATCAAAATCATCAGTCTCGGCGCAGGATTTGGTCGAGAACATCGGACATTCTTCACAAAAAAGGGAGTATCAAACACTGCAATCAAGTCTCCACCATTATAAGTCTGTGCACAAGCTACATCACAACCTGTTGTAACATTCCCACGCGTTTCTAGTATGGCTTCTTGGGGTCTTCTAGACAGTGCGAGCCTTACTTCAAGCGAGCACGTCAGTGTCACGCGTCTCCCGCCACTTCTGACGGCTTTGGTGACCAGGAACGCAATCGTACACAGTGTATTCAGTGATGCCTTCAAGTGTAGCGCTGTGCTAAGATAGCGGTAAGAGTCCAGATTAAGAGCCCATCTAAAGGAAGTAATCGGGGGTCCTTCGTGAGACCATGGGCTCGCCAGCACGTGGGCAAGGGTCAAATTGCAAACTGTGGTTGCGTTAGAGAAGCGCAACGATGTTCAGCAAGGTGGAAAACTTACAAGGTGTACTTCAGGTGTTCATCAATCTCCATGATCGCGGCCTGGTTGCCACATCTGTAGCAATAGTTGGGTGCTGTAGGATGTTAGTCGTGCAATCAGGGACGGGATGGGGGACAACCTACCCGAGAAGATGGTCACGACATTCCTGTCTTGCGACCAATTGTACCCCTCCATGACTAGCTGATGAGCACGTGCCACTAGGGTCAAGCCGTTGTTGTGGTTGAAGGCCTCTGAGATGTCCTGGCCGAACGTGTATCCTGCACCGCGGGGTGAGATTCCCCAGCCACACCTGTCATCTGGGTCGGACCAGAGCAGGTCGCACATTGGTCCCTCGTGAGGCACCTCTTGTATGCGGTCAAGCGCCCTGATGTTGTCGAGCGTATCAATGCTAGGAGAGAGACCACCGTGCAGACAGAAGATCTGGTTGTCGATCAAGGCAGTGAGCGGCAGGTAGTCGAAAAGGTCTGTGAAGTATTTCCACACATTGGCGTTGCCGTACTTGCGGAGACACTCGTCGTAAAAGCCGTACACTTGGGTAATTTGACGGGACTCGTGGTTGCCACGGAGGATGGTGATGCGCTGGGGGTATCGAATTTTGAGCGCGACCAGAAGGGTCACAGTCTCGACGGAGAAGTAGCCTCGGTCGACATAGTCGCCTGTTGATGTCAGTATGGATGAATGCCGCTGGGGCAGGCAACGCACCCATGAAGAGATAGTTTGTGTCCGGGTTGGGGCCGCCGATCTTGAACAACTCCATCAGATCGTGGAACTGGCCATGTATATCACCGCAGACTGTGACGGGGCATTTCTGTACCAAGGTGAGCGGATATCGGAGTCGCAGGGGAGATGGTACGTACCACTGGCTGTACGTTGGACTCGTCCTGGAGTACCTCGCGGGCCTATAGCACAATGCTCGTCAGAAGATGCAATCTGAGCTGTTTTTCTGCGCGAGGCTATGTCGCATACCTTGTCGCATAGTCTCTGCACATCGCTCTCGGCCAGCTGCTTGCAGCTCATGAGGCTCTCGATCCAGCCATCCAGCGTGGGGATTGTGGTCGGCTCAGACGTGGGGGCAGATGACAGCTGCATGGGCTCTGGCATCTTTACATCCTCCATATTGGTATCCATGGTTGCGGGGCGGCGGAATCGATGTAGGTGGGGTGGACGATCGGTTGTTGTGGTGTAGAGCTGTCGAGGGGTTCTTGCCCTTCAAACTCGGCCAATGACGTGCAGCAGACGCGAATGGAGGCGGTAGGCGGGAGCGACTTTCAATTCGAGGGATCGTGTAATCAGAGACTGTGTGGCGTACAAGGGGATATCAAGGGCGGCAGCAGGGTCTATGACAGGAATATGGGGAGAATCAACACCACGCACCGCAGGCATATACAGCCTTGGAAGCGCTGGCCGCAATGGAGAATCGTTTGTCCGCGCCGGGTACCAAGAGCCGCAGAGGATTTAGCGCGAACTGCAGCTGGAGTCCGTGCGCGACTGGGCGGACGCTACTGCGGGCAGCTTTGTGCAGTAACCGCGACCCTCGTCCTTTCTCCACTTCACACTTCATTGTCACTATTGCCCATCGCAACCACCAACGCGACAAGTAATAGCAACAATGCCCGCAAAACGCGCATACAGCGCCTACCTCTCCAGCATGCCTGCGGATGTGCCAGTGGTCACTGCCAATGGCTCCGGCGCTCCACAACTGCAGGTAAGTGCTCGCTGTAGGTATTGACCTGGATGAAACTCACAACGACGGCAGGCGCAGCACACCACACCTTCCTCTGAAGCATACCTACATGTTCCAGGAGGATGGCCGCAAGACGACACCACCGCCACCGAGGAAGTCATACCTCCGCGCGCTTCTCTCTTCAACACGCTCGGCAAGTGGGCTGCAACCGTCAGCGTTGCCAGCCTGCTCTCACTTCCAGCGCGCCTTGCAACCCGATACCTCCGCCGGCAGACGATCAAGGCGATCCCGATCATCTCCTCGACTGGCTCCAGCAAGAAGCGCTTCATTGCTGCAGGCGTGGCAGATGAAGAGTACGCGACACCTTCCCCTTCAGTGCGCGCGCGCGCGAACCAAACGCGTCGCGAAAACCAAAGGCAGGCGCGCGCGTCACAGTCGTGGAATGGTAGCCTGGGCCCGCGTCAGTTCCGCGACTCACCAATTCGACATACGTCACCAGTCGATACACAAGATTACGGACTAGAGACTACACCCACAGGCGGCTACTCCAACAACGCGAACACATCCCTCGAGCCCGAATTTGGCGACTCTGAAGATGCAAACACATCCCTCGATGTCAATGTCGACTTCTCTTTTGACAACATTCTCACGTCCACCCCGGGACGGAACTACCATACTGGCTCTCCCATAAACGTGTCCTGGGACTCCCCTCAGATTGACTCACCAGCGAGCCCAACTCCGTCTCCCCAGTCACACGACTATGCATATGAATCGCCTGCTTGCGACAATGCAGCTCCGGCATGGCTCTTTTCTCAGTCTCCTGCTGCGCATACCTCTCAGCATATTACACCATCAGCGCAAGGACCCGCAAGCGCAACCCCCAGCTCAAGCCGCAATAGCCAGCGTGCTATCAAATTGCCCACAGTTACACCTATGCGACGCCAGCTGTTGAAGCTGCAGCTTGGCAATGATATCAAGCGCAGACAGGCCGCGCCTCTGACGGAGTCTGCGGAACAAGGTTTCGCCGAGACCCAGTCGCCTCAAACCAATCCCGAGGCAGCCAATAAAGACTCCTCCACTACAGATGCTTTGTCATATGCATCTCCTCCCGAGCCACACACACACAAACCTCACAACTCTCCATCAGAAACTGATGGTTCGCCGATGCAAATTGACTCTGTGCTTGCTACCCCAGAGTTCGAATACGAAAACGACTTGTCGTTTCTTCTTGATGCACCTACTCCGCCGCGCAGGAAGGGAGTACGTTGGGAAAAGAATGCTAAATGCAAGCCCTTCTACTTCGACGAGAGAGTTAGCGAAATGCTCGACTCCACGCTAGAAACTATCACCTCCAGCCCGGTCAAGAACTACCATGATGTGTTCCAGAATCCTAACCGCGGCGCATCAGACGGCAGTCAGGCCGCATCCTCTTCCGGCTCTTCACCGGCCAGTAGCCCAAAGATTACACTTTTCGATTCTCCTGCCAAGGACGGTGGATGGCGCGGTGTCTCTATAGATACCTTTAATGCTCCAGATGAATCGCTCGAAGAATCCCAGCTATCACTAGAGCTTTTCGAGGATCTCCAGAGAGAAGTACAGAGGAAGCTTGCCCTGGCGCCACCGCCACTGAAACCACTTGTCGCGCCGCTCTCTCCCAGCGAAGAAGAGATACTGCAAGATGCTGCAGCAAAGACCAACCACGGCCGCAACGCCAGCCAGTGGGTTATTGAAGAGAAGCTGTATGCTCGGGACTTTGCGACCTTGTTGCCTCGAGACTTCAACGGCGACCCGAGGGCTTGGCTGAACGACAACATTGTCAACGAATATCTCTCCATTCTTGTCGCCGCAAAGAAGAAGGAGATCGGCTTTGTACACAAACGTAACGGCCCCGCACCTCCACTTCACGCCTTCTCATCCTTCTGGTATCAGACCCCCGATACCTCGCGCTGGACCAATAGGTTCCAGCTCAAAGGCAAGCAATATCTAGATGCTGACCTTATCCTCTACCCCATCTGCGACAAAGGACATTGGCGCCTGCTTGTGGTCTATCCCCAGGAACGCTCCATGGAGTACTTGGATTCTATGGGCCTTGACGGACAGAAGTACATCGACCATCTAGTGGCGTACCTCGAGAAGGAACTCGGCGAACACTGGGTTCCTGGAGAATGGACCAAAGAAACTTCCCAGCGGAGCGGACAGCAGCTGAACGGAAGCGACTGTGGTGTCTTCACTCTCATGAACGCTTTGGTCCTTATCCGTGGCGATGCCCCTGACCGCGTTGTTGCTACTAACGGTATGGACGACGCGCGCAAGCGTATTGCAGCCACTCTGCTAGCCGGACAACCTACTACCGAACTGGAGTGAGCAGGTTTTCATTATTCAAAATCACGGATTTTACTTTCATTTTATATCACGGATTGGCTGGGACTTTTTTTGGATTGTTTTGCGGCGCATAGCATGGTGTTCGGTCGCTTACGAGGTTCTTTACGACGGTCACGACCTTGATACCCCATGATACCCATCGCCTCAGTGGCATGATTGTTTTGCATAGTTGGGAGGCATTGTTCTTGTTTTGTTCTGTTTTGTTCTGTTTTGTTCTGTTCTGTTTTTGTTCTTCGCCTATATGGCAGATGGCACGCATGTTCCAATAGTGGGTGGTTTTTGCTCTTTTTGTTCTTGCATTTAGACACAACCGTAAGGAATTCGCTGGGCGGTTCTCGTAGATACTTCGGTGTAGCACTAATGCATTCTCCGGATGTTTGTAACTTCTGTTCACATTATGTAAAGCTCACGTTGCTATCAGCGTTGAAGTAATTCGTAGATTATTATTTGCTACATTCCAAACTCTAAGCAGCGACCTTGACGGTAAGCTTGCCAAAGTGCTTCTGATCCCACATGTATTGGTATGCCTCTTTGAGATCCTTGAGCTCGAACACCTTCTCATCGACAATGGGATGTATGTCGTTGGCCTCAATTGCCCTGCACATGTCTTCCATCTGTAGTCTGGAACCCACCAGGATACCACGTACAGTGCAGATGTTGCTTAGGCAGTCAAGGAATGTAGGCTGCTCCTTTCCGCCACCACCAATGAAACCAATAATGTTGATGACTCCATCAATAGCGACGGCCTTGAGAGATTGCGCCATTGTGGTCGGGCCACCGACTTCGACAACATGCTGTACGCCTGCGCCGTTGGGTGTGTACTTTGCAGCTTCTTCGCCCCAGTTGGGGGTCTCCTTGTAGTTGATGACGTGGTCGGCACCGTATTTCTTCAGGATCTTGGCTTTCTCTGCGGAACTTGTGGTAGCAATAACCTTGGCGCCGGCTGCCTTTGCGAATTGCAGAGCGAAGATTGATACACCCCCGGTACCTTGTGTGAGGACTGTGTCACCGGGCTTGAGAGCGCGTGACTCCAGGCCGTAAAGAGCATTCCAGGCTGTGAGGGCGGCGCATGAGAGAGTTGAGGCTTCGAGCATGTTCAGGTTGGACGGGGCTTGGACAAGGCCAGCCTCATCGAAAACGCCGTACTCTCTGAGAGTGCCATCAATGGCGCCTCCAAGGCCTGTGCCAAGAGATTTTCCGTCCAGGGAGCCGGCAATGTGGCCCTGGTTGAACAGTGTGACCACCTTGTCTGAAAGATGTTAGACTATGCATCTGTATGCGTGTAGAAAAATACGAACCTCCAGGCTTGAAGCGTGTGACATGCTTGCCGACCGATTCTACGGTACCAGCACCGTCTGAACCGGGTACAGTGTTGTCCTTCATTGGGAAGGGGTATTTGCCCATGGGGATAATAAGGTCGCGGTAGTTTAGCGACGCAGCGTGAACTGCCAATCGATCAGCATTGCGGCGAACAACCACTCAATGGATTGTACATACCCTTTACGAGAACATCCTTGTCTCCAATCTCAGGCACCTTGGCCTGCTCATTGAATGTGAGAGAGTCGAAGCCGTTCTGGCCCTGGACCGTCCATGCCTTTGTCGTTGATGGTGCCATGTTGTAGTTGTTTGTGTTTGGTGAATGATTTGGTTTTGGAGAGCGGGTGTCGTTGTATTTCAACTAAAGTCCTCAAGAAGAATTGGGAGCTTTATGACGCCTCGGCCATGACGGTGTCTGCTCTTTTATGTACTGCCATGTGCATGTGGGGTGGTCGAAGGTCCGAATAGTGACGCAACAACAACAGGGGCTAACTTACTTCACGTCACAGCCTAGCTCCCCTGTAGACCGCGGCTATCCTAGATGATTAGCTTGATACATGAGTGGTTACATGGGGAAGATCCAATAGCGGCTTGCCTGTTGTGGTGTTGCTCGTGAGCCGCCGGTCTAGAAGTCGGATCCGTCAGTGCGGCAGATACTGCTCTACCTGCATCGCCGGGAATTACTCGGATCTTCGGCGAAGGTTCAGGGTAAAGAATGGGACAGCGTTCAAACATGGCAGACATC